ATTTTGGAGTTGCTCGTGGCGCCATCTAGCGTTAACGGCCGCGAAAGTGCTTGGCTCCGATGAATTTGGAGTTCATCGTGGCGCCATCTAGCGTTCATGGCTGCGAACCCGCTTTTCTCTCTGGTGCAGCAATATTGTAGCCAAGCACTTTCGCTTTTGAAAATAAATTTCGTTTTTCGTCAATAACTCCCGAACGGATGGACGTAGGGGGGCGTTAATGAGCCTAAATACGCCCCCCTACGTCCATCCGTTCGGGAGTTATTGTCGAAAAATGAAATTTATTGTCAAGAGCGAAAGTGCTTGGCTCCGATATTGCTGCAACAGTGAGAAAAGCAGGTTCGCAGCCGTGAACGCTAGATGGCGCCACGATGAACTCGAAATTCATCGGAGCCAAGCACTTTAGCGGCCATGAACGCTAGATGGCCCCACGATGAACTACCGATGAATTACCGATTTATTTACGTTACCGACTTTGCCAACGGTGCAATGCGAGAATAAAGTAGGCAAAGTAGGACGACACGAGGGTCTGCGCAAGGCAGTACAAACCATAACCGTACTTCTTAAATAAATTATAAACTACTGTTAATTAAATCTTGATTTCGTTTAATTATGAAAGACAGAAATAAAGTACGAACTACAATAATGAGATACTAAGTTACAAAATATTAGAAGATACAGTTACGAGAATATAGATGACCAAGACATATGTTGACGAATTGGATCTCATAATAAAATTAATTTACAAAGTTAAAAGATGTTAGCTCCGTGTAATGACATAGTTGGAGATATAGAGGATCTGATATCCTCGCAAGATATAACACCGAAGGAACGGTATAGCACTAGGAAAAATGTGACTGTTCGCTCCAAGAGGAAACAAGCAATCGAGGAAGCTCAGGATCCTCCAGTTTTTGATAGCATCGTTCCAGGAACGCAGACGATTTACGTGAAAACGTGGGGATGTACTCATAACAGTTCTGATAGTGAATACATGGCTGGTCAACTTGCCGCCTATGGTTACAAGTTGACAGAGAACAAAGACGAAGCTGATTTATGGCTACTGAACTCGTGCACTGTAAAAAGTCCAGCTGAAGATCATTTTAGAAATGAGATCGAAGATGGGAGGAAGCATGGAAAACATGTAGTGGTGGCTGGGTATGTATATTATTTAATACATAAAATATAAAATGTAAGATGTTCTTTAAAAGAAATATCTAATTTCAGGTGTGTACCTCAAGGTGCTCCAAAGTCATCGTTTCTCCAAGGATTGAGCATGATTGGTGTACAGCAGATAGATAGAGTAGTAGAAGTAGTCGAAGAAACTTTAAAAGGACATACGGTTAGATTTCTCCAACAAAAGAAAGAATCAGGGAAGAAAAAAGGAGGCGCATCTTTATCATTACCAAAAGTCAGGAGAAACCCGCTCATAGAAATCATAGCTATAAATACTGGGTGCTTGAACCAATGCACGTATTGCAAAACTAAACACGCTAGAGGAGATTTGGGAAGCTACTCACCAGAAGAAATAATTGAAAGAGCTGTACAAGCGTTTAACGAAGGTGTATGCGAGTTATGGTTAACTTCGGAGGATACAGGGACTTATGGTAGAGATATTGGCTCGAGTTTACCCGAATTGTTATGGAAACTGATCGAAGTAGTGCCCGAAGGATGCATGATCAGAGTCGGAATGACCAATCCACCGTATATCTTGGAACACTTAGAAGAGATGAGTAAAATATTGAATCATCCTAAGGTGTATAGTTTTCTGCACGTCCCGGTTCAATCTGGAAGTGACCAAGTTCTTGCTGATATGAAAAGAGAATACACTCGGGCGGATTTCGAGAAAGTGGTCAATTTCCTAAAAGAGAGAGTTCCCGGATTAACTATAGCCACAGATATCATTTGCGGATTTCCTACAGAGACTGAGCAAGATTTTAAGGAGACTATGAGTCTGTGCGAGAAGCACAAGTTCCCTAGTTTATTTATAAATCAATTTTTCCCAAGACCAGGCACTCCAGCAGCTCGGATGCCTAAAGTACCGACCCAAGATGTCAAGAAAAGAACGAAAAAGTTATCCGAGTTCTTTCAATCCTATTTTCCCTATGAGAATAGAGTGGGAATAATTCAAGACGTCTTGGTCACGGAAGTATCTCACGACAAGAATCACTACGTAGGACATAATAAGGCCTATGAACAAGTTCTGGTGCCATTAAAAAAAGAATATTTAGGTAAAATGATCAAAGTAAAGATCACGGAAACGGGAAAATATTCTATGAAGGGACAACCGATTAATGAAGGGACATCTCCAGCACTGAAACCTAGTTTACCTAAAGGTTCTGTATCAGGATTGAGTGTAAAGTTAAAACCATCCAAGTACAGGATGGCTGCTATCTTGACAATCTTTCTAGCTATTGTACTTAGGCTACTATGGAAGTTTTTGACGACCTAACATTTCGTGTAAATAAATAAAGGATTTTACTATTTTATATGAATACTTGTTTTGATGTTTCTTTTTCTTGCAGTTGTTTTTACTTTCTAATAAATTCTTTATTAGTTTACTTTCGTTTCTGGAAAGTAAGGAGGAGATAGGATTATTAATAAACGTATTGCTTTAATTCGTATCTGAAATAAAATGTTTAATGACCGAATGAATTGGTAATAAATTTTTTTTCAATCGACAAAATACAGGAACCTGCCCTGGCACGGGCTTACAAAAATTAAAATCATATATGCTAACAATCTTGTTTGTTCTCTGTTTAGAAACAATCATAATCCCGGAACATATGATAATTAACTTAATTAACGCATTCAAAATCGCACGTTCGTATTAGTTAGAAACGAATTATAATAATACAAAAGGAAATAGAGGAAGAGTATTGAGCATTAACTTATGATTAACAATTAAATAATTTGATACAAAATGCATACTATTTATATAAAGGGTGACATACTCGCTACAGGAAACGTACTAATTTATTAACTTATTGCAATATCGATGCGCTTCCATTTGGTACGTTCATCTTCTTCTTTAGAAAATATAGTTAGCTTAACTTTAAAAACGTGTGGTCGTTGTTATCAAAATTACTTCCTGAGTATTAAACTGGATTTCTAAAAATTTAATCGTAAAGTAGATGGGTAAAAAAAATGCATCTTACAGTAATTTCTTTTCTGTTCGATTGAATCTTTGAGCGTTTCTCAAATTATTCTCAATCTTAATTATTACTCAATAAAAAACACTGGAATGATAATGTCCCGTATCACAGAAATGTCGTTCTCGAGTTGTTCATTATAAAACAGATAAATTATGTTCACGCTGGACTTTGACCTCTCGTTGATCGAGCCAAAATTTTTTATTGATTTTATTAAAACGCTTCTAAAATCCTGCGCATACGAAATTACAATTGTTCATAAAGAAAAGCTGAGAATCTTGCCCGACATTTCATAGAAAGTTATCTTAATTTTTGCTTATCAATTACAGAGAGACGTTCATTTATAAGAATTGCAGACGCGTGTTGTTAGCATAAAATTCTATCTTTTTCTTATAATACAAAACCGAGAAATTTCGTGACCGATATTTATGCCTGTTATTTCGAAATTTCTATATCTCGTTCAATCCAAGATTTTAGAGTGCAATCTTGTAGTAATTGTGATATGGACGAAATTATTTTCAGATCGGATCATATCAGATTTCAAAAAGAAATATTCAATAAATTTCTTGTTAAAAAAAAGCAAACTTTAATCTATGTGTCATGGAAATTAAAATCAGATAGAAAGAACTCATTCTTTCATATCCGTAGAGAGCGTTTCTTATATTTTTCACATCGATCACGAAATACTATACGCAACATGGAATTAAAAATATATGTATATATTACTTTTATTTATTTACAATACAGTCTTTCTTCCCGCATACATACCGGTACAAAAAGGAAGAGAATAATAAAATAGAATATGAGGAAAAACTGGCATTTTTCATTCGAACTATAAGAGTAACAATAGCACGTATGGCTCCTGAGAATAAGAGAAGTCCTCGTTTCTCTCTTCCCGTCTAGCGTCAGCTGCTAACGTAATAAAAAAAATATGGCAATACTTATGGCATAAACAAAAAAATGGCACAAAAGTTCCTGTTGTTATTATTCATCTTATTATTATTATTTTTGTACCGGTTTTGATGATTAGAAAATCATCATGAAGAATTCTCCTCTCGACGAATAATAATTCTCTCGATACTTTTTTGACTTACAGATTCTAAACGTAATAGTTTCTGGCACCGCGTTTTCTACTTCCTAGATACTTATACAACTCTCTCTTTATCTTACTCTGTATAATAATTATATGATAATAATTAAGGCTACGCATACTTTTCCATAATACTTTTCGACGAGCGACTCTTTATTATTATTATTACGAGTCATGGCATTTTCTAAGTTATTATTTTGATCTCATGTTTCGGAGACTAGGAAAATAATTATTTGTTTACTCCCTTGGCGGAGAGGGAGAGAGCTTAATTGAGAGAAGGCACCAAATCGAGAGAGAAGAGAAAATCTTAATATTTTGCACCATATTTATTGCTTGCAAAAATTCTTAAATAGAAGACATTGTTTCCACTACACACGGATTAAAACAGTATTTACGAATAAAATTGTAGTACATATAAATAAATAAATAGAACATTCACTTTAGAAGACGTTTCATTTTTACATTGAATTTCGTTGTTGGAATAAAATATGTGGGTACGAGTACAAACAAGAAATGACTAAAGATAAATAATCAAGGATAAGAACACATAAGTAATAGTGAATAAGCAACGATAAAAGACGGGAAAAGGAGATTAAAGTAATTTCGATTAAAATAATTTGAATTTCCCTAATAAATTATAAAACGTGGTGAACTATAAATCAGGGAATTAAAATTGAGAAACTTGCGACATAAGATTCATTAAATTGCAAAGGGGAGGTTCAGTTCTGCAGAGAATTAAATAAAAAGTAGTCGGCCCATGCCCTTCGTGGTTTTATGAGTCTTGTAGTTCCCCGTAGTCCTCCTCAGTATACATATTTATGTCTTCTTGTTAAGAATATTATTAATTTTCTCCTTAATTACGGGAGAACATTCAACATTACGTAAATGACTTAATTAGAATTTAAAGGCATCTAAAAGTCTCCTAAATCGGTTTCTGAATTTGTAGTTCATAAAAACTCAACTTTATCGAAGAGCAAGTGGGTCGCTAATATTTTAAATAAGGATGGGTGTGTATATTGAATTTTTCAAATTAGGTTTTCAAGTATGTGTTCAATTTCCTCGAATTTCCACTTATTCTTAGAAATTTTCTCTTCTCTCTTATATATCTACATATATAAATAAGATCCCCGCAACCCTCTCTTTTATTTATTCGATCATCTCACGTGATCTTTTCTGAAATCAAACTCCGACTTAATTGATTTCAGAGAACGAGAGAGATGACATGGGAACATTGATTTAACTAAAATCAATAGTAGGACACTTGTTTTCCCCCAATTGCGGAATTATCATTACAATCTTCTGAGGTTCCTCTTGCTCTGCCTCGACCCTATCACTAACCGTTGCTTGTTTCTCTTGGTAGGGGTGGCCAGCAGCGGTGTTTTACAGGGACCGGTGTGCGGCCTTGAGGAGCACGAGGTGCAGAATTCCATCGAACAACCCTGTCTGGAACAGGTTCCCACGTTCTTCTCGTCGTCCACGTGACTGGGAAACGAACACTTCGGACAACGTAGTAGGTGTTCCCAAGGGGCGAGCGTGCGACTAGCCTGCAACAAAAATCAACATTGTCGTTCCTTTGCTAAATCGTTCTTAATTAAATGATTAATTTAGAATAAAACATAAGTTCGAAGTATTCTCTGTACTTCGCAGATGGTAAGTTACACTGCCAGAGAGTCGAGCTATCGCTTTAGCAGATTCAGTAACAGACTTGTTCTTTATCGACTGCTGTGAGCATACTAACAAGTGCCGCTAACTGGAAGAGTTTTACGTTTTAAAATGTATTTGAATCTTCTGCCTTACGAATCGTGAAACTGTTATCTGACGAACTGATAAATGAACAGGAGATTGTTAAGTAGTTTACGGACATCGATACTTCATTGGGGATGCATAGATAACTAGTCATTGATCATCATAATCTAAAGGGTAGAAATATCGCTCCCGAACTAACAATAGATACTTTCATCATTTATCGTTATCTAGCATCGTGAAGCAAAAAGTAATTCCAAGTGTGAAAGGATTCGTTATCTGCGGCGCCGTTTATCTACCCTTAGATAGTACGACCAGTTACGTTTCTGTAAACCTAATTGCTGAAAGTCTCGAGCAATTAGTGTTGGAGGCAGGTCAGAGTAACTCGACTTAATTACGTTATTACGCCAGTTTGCACCTGCTCCACTTAACTCTCACTTTTATTGAAATAATAGAAACTGTGTGAAAGCCACATTTCTTATTTTTGCTCGCTTCTCAGTCAGGCGATAAATATTGGGTTGGCAACTAAGTGATTGCGGATTTTAAATAAGAAGTCTATCGACAAACTCCGCAATTATTTAGTTGCCAACCCAATAAAAGATATTTTCAATTGTCGAACAATTTTTGTTTAAATGGAGAAATAAGAAAGTTATCGATATTCAAATCAAATTAAATATCTGGTGGTACAGCCGCGTGCAAATGAATCACTTTAACGAGACCTCGCTGTAACAGCAGAAAATAAGAACTGTAGAGTGAAAGGAGAATTGATTAAGTTATGCTCGATGCTAAACGAATTGTAATATTACGAGGCGCGTTGACAATGAAGCATAGCGTCACGGACAACAAAACAACGTTGCTCGAAGCTAACCGCCACCGATGCCGTCGAGCATCCGTCGTGAATTGTTAATTAGAGTCGCAGAAAAGTACGTGAGAAAATTTAGCCAGCCGCTTATATGTATATATAAAACAAAACTAAGAATTATAATAAGTGTATAAACAATTATTATCGTTTCTCGTTGCTAAAGTCATTTATAATGTAAAATGCAGATATTTTAAAAAATAGGATGTGAAATACAGTTGGTTGAGATGTAGGATTCTGGACAAGCATAAACGTGGAAACAAGAATCGTACCTGGTGGCCGATAGAAGATTAAGTGAACCGAGAATCAGAGTAGTCCGAAATTCGATACAAGCCTTTCTCCTAGTATATTTTAATCGTGGATATTAAGTTACACCTTAATTCGAGGCGATAGGCGAAAACGACGGGGGCAAATGGTCCGAAATTTTCGAAACGCACCCGGTTTATGCCAACGTTAATAGACTTGTTATAATAAAAGTCTACACGGGTGAATAATAAGTATGTTCAAGCAGCATTCCTCAAAGCCGTATCCTGGCTTAATAAAGAATTCTATAAAATATGTATTACGAAAAATGAATTTATTCCAAGCAGAATTTATTATTGATATGTAAAGCGATATTCGGCTAGAATTTCTATAGAATAATTAGCATAAGAATCGAACCCGTTTGTCAAAGACCATTGCTACTCGTTTCGCGTATTCGAAACATTAATTTATTTCTCGCTTACATTTTTCACATCGCTATCTTCCCGATGTTGCCATCCTATTTTTCAAACAAACAGATCTTTATCTTGACATCTCTATTAATTTGTTACTTGCCACTGTGGAGAATTATAAATAGCGCAAAATTGAATACGTTAAATTTAATTTACTACGGATACAAAGAATCGTTACTCCCATTTCGAATTTTCTATCAGCCTATCAAAGCGTGCAACTTCCGGTTTAAGAACGAGTCTCGAATCCTTATCTCCACATAATTATAATTGTGGTCGGAAAGCAGAGGAGCAAAAACCGCTGACGGTGAGCCTAAATTGGTATATCAATTAATTTAATTAAAAAGTTCCGCTCTACCAAGACTTGATTTATTAAAGAAAACAGAATAAAAAAATTCCAATATGTGTAGAGTCTGTGCCAGACGATTTCCGGTGTACATAGTAAAAAGATTCTGCAGCCGTGTCCTGAATCGTTATCGCGCTTCTGCAGCTTGTATCGCCTCTCTTTGGCTTCGGTTCTCCACTTTGTCGAGCTACTATCAACACGGCCATGGTGGTATCGTAACGGAAAAACGAAATTTCAAACACATCGCACGTTTCATCGAAAAAAGCCAACAAATACCAGTTGCCGTCGGGCGGCACAACGAAACTCGTTGATCCCAGTTTCAACATTGTGATGAGGGCTCCTACGGCGCGGGGCGGGCGAAGAATTTTTATCATGTTTCTACGAATCTTTTGGGGCGGCGCTCCCAACATTGTGTGTGTCCGTTGGCCCTTTTTTCTTCTATGTAATGCCTATCTGCCACTCGGTAGAAATTTTTTCTTCCCAATGATCCCGGCGAGGATATTTATCTTCTCTTTGGTAGGAAACTTCGACGGTCCTAATAAATATGAATATATCTTGTTACAACATTGCAGTTAGGGCATTTCTAACGGACGACTTCAAAAGAAGTCTCACACCGCTGGGTTAAACTTTATGGTCACGTTTCTTTAACCAGATGCTTTTTCTTAGGTTTCCTCTTTGACTCTTTACAATGCATGCATGTTTAACCATGAAAAATAGTACAATGTGTCGAAATGCGTTTGCTTATTGTCATACTAACGCGATACATGCTTGCACGTCCTGCTTTTTGAATTTTTAATTTCATTGCAATTGGAAGAGGAAAAATGTTCTCTCAATCCGGCAACGTTCAAATATTTCAACAGGTTCGAAATCATTATCTTGACCTTAATTATAGTTTCTACGGTAGATTATTAACTTCATCATTTCGGATACGATTTTTTTTATCGAAGACGAGCTACAAAAATCATTTGGACCCGGGGTATAGTCATTTTCGACTAGCCGTTGCTAGCCAGAATCCACACAGGAAGTCGTGTAAGTATTGGTAGAGTACGATGTAGAATCGTGAGGGTCGGTACTTTCTTGGGGATATTTAGGGTCGGTTACGACATACCTTCTATAGATGTGTGTGTGTGTATATATACAAGCACAATGTTGCTTCGGCCGTGTTCTATCCAGCCACATTGTGAGAAAGGGTCTCTCTTTCCGCTTAGCATCTGCTGGGAAGCCTGACCGATCATTTTCTACATTTCTCTGGCCGACCGAAACGTCTGAGAAGAAAATATTACCGCTGCTACTTTCAAAATATTAATCTCGAAACAATCTCGGCATTCTTTCAACTAAACCCTTGCTTAGGTCAATTAATTTTCTGTCTGTTAAACCATTTCCTTAATATCCCAGTATGTTCCCAAAGCCGAGCAACATTGTTACATAATATACAAATTTACACGCGATGAACACGTGTAGGCATTAGTGTAAAAATTTATTTCCAACGTTATACTGGCTTCTACATTTTTATAGTATTATTGAAATATGTGGTAGACTTGTATGTGACGGATCATAATTCAAAATTAGCATTCAGAAAGACAAGAGCGATTAAAAGCCCATTAGTTCAAAGGACTGATAGAAATTGCCTTCGTACGTATATGAACTGATGAATTATACATAGCTGGCGATTCCCGCCGAAAGTGACAGAAGAAATTTAAGAAGATTGACTCGACGAGGTCGTTTCATTCGTTCTAAATCGACTGACAACCAAACGAGATCTAATTCTCCGTTCCTTTATGTCTGTTGTTATCTAACAAGCGTGTTTAGTTTGTTCATTACTCTTGTTAACATGCTAACTATATTGCGTTTTAATCATTTGTACCTGAATTTTAAGTACAAGCTTTATCTGTGGAACGCGCCGCGCGTTCAGACGATTCTTCCATATGACTTGACAGTTTTAGGTGTTAAGAGAAACATCAAATTTGATAAAGATTGACAATGTAAGGCGATCCTATTTCTATCCAAGGCGGAAATTTCTTTTAATACCAAATATCGAAGCCGACCGTGAACAGGACTCGGCGGAAGGTTCTCAGGTTCCGGGAGACGAAAAAGGTAGGTACTACCTGTGACGCCGGCAGCGTCGTCCTGGACACCAGGTATACTAGTACGTTCAGGTAGAAATTTATTTTAAAAAGGAGACCATCCTTTCAAAGCGGGGAATAGAGAAATTTTGAAGGATCGCCGGATTATCATGGCTTACCCATAGACCTAGCAATACAAGGAAGGACCTTCCATCGTAGCTCAGAACGGAATATTTCCATGAAAGAAAAAAAGGACTGACAAAGAATATTGTCTGCATAAACATACTAAAATCTAACACTTTTCGTTAATGTTAATTTTCTTTTATGTTAAATTGTGAAATACATACAAAATCATAATGCATCAAATCTATCGATTAAACTTCATCATAAATATTATACAAATCTATGTATTGTACCTTCCATTTCTACAAGCGAGTTTATCTAATTAACTACGAAGAAGCTTCTACCGAACATTAAGCTAATAAAATGGGCACCTGGCTAATTGATCCTGCATCGACGGAGAACAGAACGAGAGAGATTGCGCATAAATCAGATGCGAGGCTCTCGAAAATTGCTTCGGAATAAAAAACAGAGCAAAACGATGGAACGGTGCGCATTAGGGTTCGAATTTCGCCTGAGGAACAATTGTTTTTGTGTGCGAAAAATCCTTGTTCGTTACGGTCCGAGGGAACCACCTCTCGAAAACGAGAAACAGGAGAAATTGGCGAAAGAGAGGACAGAGAGAAGAGAAGATTCACGCCCCCACAGGGCCCACCACGTGCTGGTTGTTATTGTTGTTGTTGCCGTCTTCCTCTCTGGCCTG